ACGCGTAGTAATACCACACGTGACTAATACAACACATGACAAATTCAACGCGTTGTAAATACCACGCGCACTAACATAACGCGTGCTAATCCTACGCGTAGAAATCTAACGTGTGATTACTCAACGCGTAATAATCTAACATGTACTAATCTAACGCGTAGTAATACCATACGTGACTAATACAACACATGACAAATCCAACGCGTCGTAAATACCACGCGCACTAATATAACGCGGCTAATCCTACGCGTAGAAATCTAACGTGTGATTACTCAACGCGTAATAATCTAACATGTACTAATCTAACGCGTAGTAATACCACACGTGACTAATACAGCACATGACAAATCCAACGCGTTGTAAATACCACGCGCACTAACATAACGCGTGCTAATCCTACGCGTAGAAATCTAGCGCGTGATTATTCAACGCGTAGTAATCTAACATGTACTAATCTAACGCGTAGTAATACCACACGTGACTAATACAGCACATGACAAATCCAACGCGTTGTAAATACCACGCGCACTAACATAACGCGTGCTAATCCTACGCGTAGAAATCTAACGTGTGATTATTCAACGCGTAGTAATCAAACATATGATAATCTAACGCGTACTAAACAAACGCGCGATAATCCATCGCGTGACAAAATAACCTCTACGTTAATCGCGTATTGTTGCGTGAAAATAAGTATAGAATAAATTGGCAATCATTCACGTGTGACTTTCTCCTACTTCAGTTTACATGTTCATGATAAAATCGGTACGAGTACATAAAAACCCCCTTAAGCGAATGTAGGTCGAATGGAAATTTTCTGCCGACAAATTTCATTGCGTCAAGTTTATCCTTTCGGATCCAGCTTCGATAAAGTTTTAGGATTGCGTAAGCCGTAGAAAGCATTCTATTTACTTCGTAATTCCGTCGCTGATCGTTAACGATCGACAGACCTTTTGACCAGCAAGCTCGTAGATAGGGTAGGTTCTCTGGAAATCCCATTGACGACCCATCGTTTCCTGCGTCCTTTTTTCCGTGTGGATCATTGTAAACCCTAACGGTATTCGACAGATTTTATTTAATTTATTGTGGGGGCCGAGAGTTCGAGATTATGGAATGCGCGGCTTTAAAAAATATGTATTTGCGGGAGAATATCCGGGGATTAAATACGAGTGCAAAATTGTTTTAATACTGTGGATATATTCAGAGTTATACACACGATTGGGAGAGTTTGAAAATTTTGTGTTATATTCCATATTAATTGTTCGCTGGAATTCTGCAATTTACATCATACAAACAACGGCAATTTTACGAACAATTAATGTCTGATATCCTAATAGCATATATGTTAAATGTTTTAATAGAAAATACTAAATTTCAAAGTACTATTGGTGACTGCATATGTAATACATATTCAATTATGGGATACTTAGTGAAAATAATCTAACAATGATATACTTGATGATTACGTATCTATATATCTGTATAAAACTATGTATCATTCATGAGAAATCTATAAGTAAAAATAAAAATTCAGCGCCATCTAGCGAACGGTGTTCCACTGCTACTCCTGGTAACAGGATCGCAGGAAATCGAAGAGGTATCCGAAGTATTAGGAGCTTTCCCTGTCTCGCGCCACCTCTTCAAATCAAATGATACAGAATTTTTATCAGTTGATTTTTATTAATAATATACATGAATGTATAGTACTTTGTAGCGATAAAACACTTTGTGAGTAAATACTACAGAGATGTAATACTTAATGATAATAATTAGTGGTAGGAAATATTCGATGATGACCTAGTCGTAAAACTAACAATGTTATAGGTTTGACAACTGTGTACAGGGGAAATGTAACATGTGACAATATAGCCTCTTTCCAGGCTCCATGAATGTAAACTGGTATATCTGGCAAGAATTATACTTTATTCGCGTACGACCGCACAAACAATAACACTATTATTGCACGTAGAAAATTACATAAGTATTTGAGCAGTCATTTACAAAATGTACGAAGAGTATGGATACAGGTTTATAAAAGTTTAACTCGTGTAAATTACAGCACCCTGGCTCGGTTCCGTTGGAAATACCAGATCCTCCACTTGGAACCTCTGCTTCACTCCACATCTCATCATCTCCGTTTTCAGTTTGTCCACAAATTCCGAAACCTTGTCTTTCGTCGTGATGGCCACTATACATCCGCCCCACCTGTACAGAAATAGAATTATTTGTCGTATCGTATCGTAGAACGATTAAATCCTTTTTTGTGGTTATATTTTTCATGTATCACTTGTACTGATAAGACCAATAGCTCAGCTCGATTGGAACGATTTCGCTTCGGTTCTATCTAGAATAATTCGCGGAAATAATTTCTTTCTCAATGATTCTGTTCAAACACTTCGAAATTCTGGTACGGTTGCGTGCCATCATGTTGTAAAAAGAATTTCTTTGACATACTACGTAGCGCATACACACCCATGGATCGATTAGATTTCGTCCAGAGTACGGTGCTTCGATATTGAAACGTCGTAAAATTTTCAGTGCACCTGTTCCAATATCGTATTTTATTTAGATCTAGAAACTACTAAACAAAATTCATGGTTGAATTCTTTATTCTTTCGAAAACACGATTTCGGCTATTCCCAACTGGGTTCCATCGATAACGTCCATTTATTTTTACTGGGAAATTTAGAAATACTAGAATTTAGAGATATTGGGATTTAGGAATATATGCAGAGATTTGTGGATCTACGGATTTAGGGGTACAGAGGAAATATAGGAATGCGATACGAGAACAACAGATTGCAATTAAACAAAGTTTAGAAGTGCAACGCGTAACTGTCTATAGACGCGTCCAAAAGTTGACAGACAGTATCCAATTCTACGTGATCAAAGAGACTACAAAATAATTAATCGCGAGTACACTTGCAGAAATGCATTAGGAACCTGTTAGGAATCATTCTCCACATAAGTCAGTACTATAAACAATTCCAAGTCCTTTGTTCCTCGTCCTTTTTACCTATTCTCTGTATGAACTATTTTAACCACAATTTCTTCTTTACTACAATCAATCAGGATCGGAGTTTCAAACAATTCATGCCAGACATTCACACAATTGAAAATTGCAAAATTTCTGGAAACCTGATCAAAAGACTATCCGATGCAAAGAGTTATCATTTCAATCTGACACACACGCATACCTTTAGTTTTTTATTCAACAATCAGTACATGAACAGTGCCTTTCTTTTCATATTGCGATGCTATTAAACAGCGATATTTTTGATATTTGAAAGAAAATTGCATATCGACGTTACGTCTTTGCCGTTTACTCTCAGACGACCTCTTTCCTTCTCCTCCTTGCCTCATGTCTCTTCAGCCACACACAATAGTTCATGTATGCACTCACACACTCAGCCCTATTACATTCTCATTTCCACGAAAACTGTCACCCGGTCAAACATTCTTCACTTATACATTACTCGATCACTTCTTCATATCACGTCACTCCACCCAAACATTCTTTCCTCGCATACTATAATACATTACTAATCCCTCTAAAATTTTCTTACTTAATTGTTATCAATTTACGATGACATTCAACTCGCTGAGTCGAATATTTGTACCATAATCTCAAATAAAAAAATATACCCTTCGTGTCAACCTAACTAATAAAATTTGAATACTACCTGTGGCAATAATCAAGCATAATTAAATATAATTGCATAAATATCATTTCATTTTCTAGCTTTAAGAAATTGTCTCTGGAAAACACAGAGCCACATAACTTTGAAAAGGCTTTTAAACTCTGTATTCCTTGGTCGTGCCGTTGTAGCGGATGGCATAGAGAGATGTCGGGTTCGGCTATCTATATTTAAATTTAATTTACGACTATTCTAGAAGGAACAGCGGTATCCACGTCTCACATACCCTGCTCCCGTGAGTCTTGCCCCGAGTGCACCGCAACTCATGGCCTTTTCGACGAGTGCATCAACGCTTGGATGGCTGCACTCGTACAGTTTCTGAAGACTCTCGTGGCTCTTGCACATCAGATCGCCTAACCGTCGAAGCTTCTCTTCTTCCGTCATGGTGCTGTCTTCGCAGACGCGTTGGAATTCTATCACCCTTGCTGCTTCTACAATATACGACAGTTTGACATTTCGAATGTAAATGGATACTGTAAAAAGGAGTAAAATTGTTATAACGCAAAAAGGGGTAAGATGAGACAACTCTAGAATAAAAGATTATTATAACGAATTGCAGAAAATTTGTGTGATGCAGACTTGCAAAAGTAGAGAATATAAAAATTAGTAACGGTGCAATGTGCAGATAAAAACTTCCAAGACACCAAAAGTGAAATTGGCCCAATCAAAAATTATTATTATGAGAAATTTAATTACCTTGAAAGACATGTAAAGCTCTTTGCCTTAATTTAAAGGTTTGTGAATCGTTAAAATCTCTTAACGACAGGCTCCTCAACCTATCTTCCGTAACGCCCAGATTTTTGCAGATCTACAAAAACAATTGTGTTCGTGTATAGATAGAAGGTTCCAGATAACGCTATTGTCGAGGAAATTGTATAGCTTTCGTGGGATCGAACGAGACAATAGTGTGCTTAGAAAGCATCCAAGAAATTGGATACAATGAAAGAATAATATCTGGGGTCGAGAATATAAAAGGTGCGTGAATGTGCTTATTATACACGAATCAATAGAGCAGAGGTTGAACAACAAAAGCAATGTTGAGACAAATTCTGAGCGAAGCAAGGACGAAATTTTGGTCGATCGATAAGATTATTTTTAGGAAAGAGGTCAATATCGTCATTATTCATGGTTAGTCGTGTACCTCGTCCATGGTGTACGGTTCTTCGTGAAAGTCAGCTGCTACTATGGACACCATTTCTTCTAAGCTCGCACCTAGGAAATCTTGAACGCTGCTTAATCTTTTTACTTGTTCCAAAGGCATGTTTCTTTTGTTTGCTATCATCTGGAAATTACTCTTGAGATTAGTATGTATTTGGAAGTCTAAGTGTTACGTAGTAGGATCATGTATGATATATATTTTTTAACTTTGCTGTATTTCAAAATTTCTAAGTTAAGAATCAGCGAAAGCTAACGATACGAGTAATGGTGCGATCGCTAAAATAAATAACAATTAAAGAGTGAAATATGCTCGGTAACGAAAGTTTCATCAATCTAGTGGCTTTCTAGATGTTGTCAGGTATAAAAGAAGCGTGGTCAGATTCGTTAGATAGACCGGAGTTATTCCCGACAGAGGGGAGGATCGTGGCCGAGGCACATCGATCAAAGTCAGTTGTGCAACAACCGTAAAACATAATCGAAACGCAATCCCATTAGCTCCTTTGAAACGTTATGTTCGAATGATTCTTTGAGTGTTCATTGTTGTACGAGATAATGATCGAATCCAACGAATCCTTCGACCATAACCACGATTACTCACGGGGTAGTTCGTTATCAGCACGTAGAATTAAAATGATTTCGCGAATTCTTAATCGTAGAGGGATACGTTACCAGTGCAGCAAGTTGACATTCCATGACCCTTAAATTATAATCCCTCGTGGACGCTTTGTTGTGACATGTCTGGCTATGGGCTATTACGAACACTGCGGTTTCCGGTAACGTGATATCGCTGCTACGTAGCGGGTTGAATTCGATTAGCAATGCAGAACCTTCACAGATATCGATAAAAATCAGTACAATTACCTTCGAGATAAATTGAGGAAGTGGCCTAAATACAGGTTAAAGACGAAATATGAGCTGCTTGAAATGTAGGGTCATACCAACCCTAGGGAAAGTAAAGCTAAAAGTTTACTAACAAAATATTTTAAATACGCATTGAAGAGTTATATTTAACAAGCCATGCTGAAATAAAAGTGGTAGCCCGTGCTTAGACCAGTTTTTGTTCCTCTGAAAATTTTACGTAGGGGGTTGCAAAAACAGTTACCTTGTTCTCCAAGAAAGGCGATTGCCTGATCCATACCGCCACCCATGGTGCCGACGTACCTTTCGGCGTTGGCGCTGTGGACAGCCAGTCGACATTTCGGCAATGGTTGCTGCAACAACGAAAACGAGCGTGTTCCTTTTGCCAACTTCCTGTTTTGCCATCGCGACAGCTATCTATTGTCGCCTCGCTCGCGTTTAACTTCGACTTATTGACTGTACACACGAGGAAGCGAAGGTAAACACGGCTTCAACCCTCTTCGAAAGCGTTCACCCCTGTGTGTGGATCTTCGGTAATTGCGAAAACGCTTCAACTGGAATTTTTTCGTTGAACAGCGAATTACCGTAGTTCCTACTAAACTATTAATTAAACTTCTTCCGACACTTGTGTACGCTTCGCTGAAAAATATCGAGAAACTAAAGTTTATTTTCAAGAATTCTCATCGCTCCGCTATATGTTCAATTACCGTACTTGTTTTTTCTTCCGAAACAAGTTTTCTCTCCGATCAGAACTTTTCAAAGGCTGGTGAAATCGATACAATGAAACGCAAAACGACGAATTGTTGCGCGAGGGAATTCTGTTTGTCAATTTCCTCTTTTTGATTATTGACACGAAAGAATCGCACAATGCGATACGCATTGCGCCTCGATAGAGGATTCATTGGCTAGGAAGTGTCGATGTTGTCGATGACATATGTAATTTATCCGGCTAGTCAAATTCGCGATATCGAATCGCGTATTGCGGTTTCCCTCGTAATATCGTTCACGCAAGTCAGAGGGGTGAACAGGGTGCGCAGAGGGTTTCACGTTAAGGGAATCGATCTGGTATCGCGTGGCTCGTATGTAAAGCGATCGTGAGTACGCTTTATGGATCTGGTCGGAAGCGCGAGTAATGGACAGGAAGGTATCAGAAATTCTTCGGACATTCCGTGCGAAGACACTCGTCGCATAATCTCGGAGCGGAGAACGTCGATGTGACTCGTCGAAGGAGACGTTAGGGTCCAGAGGAGGTTTTCTCATCGATCTTGGAAGCCCCAGGAGAAAAAGCAGATCCGCGGCCACGAAAATAAAAGCGCAATTTTTACTCGTCGCTGTCTGGAACGCGGCAGCTACATTGCGAGCACGCCGCAATATCGTCGCCGTTGTCGCGTGCGTGTGTACGTGATTTAATCATAACGAAACGGCTGTTCCAGGAACGTGACACTGATACCCGGTGCAGCCTGTTAATCACGTAGCCTTACAAATTGCCACCTCCTGGGCAAGGAACACTTCCTGCCTCGCTTCTAGACCGTCGTTTGTTCGCTAAACATCCCCCGCTTTTGTCGCTGCCATTCCGCAGCCATTATTCCTCTGTCGCTGGCGAATTTCATTTTCTTTTGGAGGTCTGGCGGCTTCCTCTTTCTACCCTTTTGCCAAAGCTGCTGCTCCAAGTTTCTTGTAGCGTGAAATTGTGGACTAGGAGGTCTCGTAATCGCGCTGACGGAATTCTTTAACGTCCATTTATATTCGTGTGCCTTTTTATTAATACAGAGCTGTTAGTTGTGTTTAGAGAATGGTCAAGTTGTGCGCCACGAATTCTCATGCGAACACGTGTAACCACCGAGATATTAGACGTGATAAAATCGAAGTAAATAAACGCATCTTAAAGAATGAAAAGGTATATTTACCTTATTGACATGCATGGTCAACAGCAGCGCGGCAGAAACCAAAGCGCTGGAGCTCGAAAGGCCCGCATTAGGAGGAATGTCTCCGTCAACTAGGGCTATGAATCCCTTAGGTGTACATGCCCTCGGGAGCTTTTCGAGAGCTCCTTGTACTCCGCTCATGAAATAGTTAGACCACTGTATTGGTGCGCCCTCTCTGACGGTATGGCTGTGAAAGGTTTATCAAGTTTGTTTTTCGTGATTATTATAAAATGTATTTTGTTAAAATTAAAGTGCCTTCGCTTTTGTCTTCGAAATTTCTTATAACCTCATTATTAAATATGTTTTCTGGGCCCTTTTTGTAATAACGGGACGATCGTTCATTTATAAACTTTTTGCCAAAAAGGCGTACAAAAACTGGCAGGAGAGTTTCGTGTCATATTTTCTGCCGTTGTGCATGTAGAAGCATCTTTTTATTCCCCACTCGTATTAATCTCAGTAGAGATTTCATATATATTCTTCCATCATAAAGATTAAGTTTCTTTGCAAACAAGTTCCGTGAATCTCCCGGATTTCCGTAAACACCTTTGTGCTGTTCTGCCTAATAGAACGGAGAACGAACAATGAAATATACAGCGAGTCGCCGCCACAAATAATTCCATTTTTCATTTGCATTACAATGTACTTTGTTTTTCTCATTTGCTGGAAAGACGCTGGTTATTATATGCAGAAACTACTTCTCGATGATGTAAACCCATGAAGCGAAAGAAAATTACTTGGAAGAGGAGCAACAAGCCCGTATATCTTCTTAAAAGCGAAAGTATCGAGGCAAAATGAACTCTAATTGTGCTAAAAATGTGTTCATACTAAATAAGAAATGTAAAGATTGAAAAACAGAAGCGATAGCGAATTTGATCACGAAAGAGAACTATGGTAAATATAAATGAGAGCTCTAGCAGCGATTTTGACTATTCGCATATCCTTGTGAATTTTTCCGAACACGAGTTTTCCAACTGACGAGTCGCTGAATATTTTTCGAGTAATGAAATTACGTCGACCAGCTTTATCGTACCTTTCGCTTTATTGCATCATTTTAATTCAACATATACGCGTTACTTCCAACCTACTATATTCGAGCGAATTAGTTTCACGTCGGGGACCGAACGCCATTTATTTTTTCCCCGGCGAGAAATGCACCGAAAAAATTTCCTACGGCGAAATTGCATTCCGATGTTGTATATGGAATTTTTGTATTATCTTCAGCTTGTTCCCTTCCGGCGATTTTTCTTCGAACGAAATGAGGAAAATGAAAATTTATGCGACTGATCATTTTCATCGGAATATCGTTGCGAGCTCGAATGCTTCCCTAGAGAAAATCCGGGGGAAGAAAGAAACACTCTACCACTGCTTACTTTTTCAAATTTTAAGTAGACGATATTTGATAACACAATTCTCGACGTATACCGTAAAAGAATATTTCTATGCGCAACAATGAGGCGGTAAATTAGCAACCCTACCCTGATCATATTTCCGGAAGTAGACTGTAGAATAGCACTCTAATTTCTTACACCCTCGGAACGTATTAAGTCTGTCCTTGGTAACCGAAGCTTTTGTTATGAATCCACGTGTAACAAAATGTGGTTGACATTTAACTCACGTCAGTTGTTCAAAACTGTAGCAGAAGCCTTCGTAGTTGGGATTTGTGTTGGCGACAAAAACTTTATCATCCTCGGTAGGAGCCACGGCGATGATTATGTGCTGCTCGATTGCCATTGGGCAAACAGCGTATCCGCAATAATCGATGTGCTCGCCAATTAAATTAACTCTGCGAACAGGTGATCAAAACAACCGCGATTACTCGTTGAAAAACTGAACAGTTATAATCATTATATTGTTGCATATCGGATAACAGATGTCGAAATACGTCTAGTTTTATGTGATTTGCTGACACAAAGGTATCATAAAGTGACGCGTATTCTATATCAATTCAAAGTTTCATTTTTGACGCGAATAATTGTGCGAACGTTTCGTCAATATTTTCGATACAAATTGATTGTGTCTAAAGTCAAAGCTGTGGTATTGCAATGAATAGTAATTTATTGTATCGTCGTATGGTGTTGCAATACGATATGTTGTTACGAATGCTATTTTTACACGTTATATCGCCACGCGTAATATTACAACGTATTGTATTGTGTCATGTGGTATTGCAATAGGTCATATTACCACGTGTGGTATTGCAGTAAGTTATATTACTTCGTGTAGTACTGCGAGTTGAATTTTTATGTCTCAATTCGTTATATTGCCACCTGATGTTGCCTCGCGTTATATCGCCGCACATGGGATTACAATGCGTTACATCTCAACGTGCAGCATTGTAACGCGTTGCACTTTGACATGCAGTAATGCATTACGTTATATTATCTTGCGTTATATTGCCTCGCGTTATATCGCCGCACATGGGATTGTAACGCGTTACATCTCAACGTGCAGTATTATAACGTGTTGCACTTTGACATGTAGTAATGCATCACGTTATATTACCTCGCGTTATATTGCCTCGTGTTATATTGCCTCGCGTTATATCGCCGCACATGGGATTGTAACGCGTTATATCTCAACGTGCAGCATTGTAACGCGTTGCACTTTGACGTGCAGTAATGCATCACGTTATATTACCTCGCGTTATATTGCCTCGCGTTATATAGCCTCGCGGTATATCGCCGCACATGATACTGCAATGCGTTACATTTCAACGTGCAGCATTGTAACGCGTTGCATTTTGACGTGCAGTAATGCATTACGTTATATTACCTCGCGTTATATTGCCTCGCGTTATATCGCCGAACATGGTATTGCAATGCGTTAAATCTCAACGTGCAGCATTGTAACGCGTTACATTTTGACGTACAGTAATGCATTACGTTATATTACCTCGCGTTATATTGCCTCGCATTAAATAGCCTCGCGTTATATCGCCGCACATGGTATTGCAATGCGTTACATTTCAACGTGCAGTATTGTAACGCATTGTACTTTAACGTACAGTAATGCATTACGTTATATTACCTTGTGTTATATTGTCTCGCGTTATATCGCCGCACATGGTATTACAATGTGTTATATTTCAACGTATAGCATTGTAACGCGTTGTACTTTAACGTACAGTAATGCATCACATTATATTATCTCGCGTTACATTGCCTCGCGTTATATCGCCACCAATGTTATTGCAACACGTTACATCTCAACGTGCAGCATTGTAACGTGTTGCACTTTGACTGGGAAAATTATTGCTTCGCTTTATATTGCCTCGCGTTATATGGCATTACAATTCGTTATATTTCAACATGCAATATTGTAATATGTAATATTGCTACTCCTTATATCGCCAAGTAATCCGTTGCAACGCGTGGTATTGCAACTCGTCTATTATAATCTCCCTCGTAGAAAGCAACAGTAAAATTACCTTCCTGGAACTTTAACGAAAAAGGAAGGTTTGATAGAGAAACGGTCTTTGAAATCCTCCAGCAGATAATTCAAGCTTTTGAGAGTCTTCTCATCTAGCTGTAGAATGGGAACTCGTTCTTCCGGTTCCAGGTCGGACGTCCCACTGGCATTCTTCGACATATCTGCAACGAATTCGTATATATACAAAAAAAGTCCATTTTATTAAGGCTGAGTGCTTTGTTTTCACGAGGGACGTCGCTTTTATCCCAGCGGATTCGTTGGCGTACGAATATCACGTGAGTTGGATTTTTGCGACCACATTTACGACGAACAGTTTAATTTCCTGACGATTCGATTTCACGTTGAAGGTACGAATTCGTTGTGAAATTTTTGCGTCGAGAGGAATAGTGCGACAGGCTATGGATACCCTGAATAAAACTTGCGAACGAGGTCACCGCCATTAACGCAATTACGTTGTTGCTGAAGATGGTGAGCTCGTTACATTGCTAAATCGATCATTTAAATTTTTAAACGTCGAGGATTTTACGAGAAGTTATAGTAATTTCTTAGTATCCAGTTAATTTATTTTAACATCGTTCATTTATTTTAATAACTCGCGCGTTTGATTACCGCGCGATTACGTGTATCGAATTAGATGATTCACCGAACACAACCGTTTTTATCGGTGTAATAAATTGCATAAACGTTCAGTCTGCATACTTGAATAGAACGTTTGCCTGCTTCATGCTCATTTCAGTCTCTTAATTACACATTTTGTTAAATATTTGTACGTTTGTAGATAACGAGTTCTATATCTTTATCCGGTATACGTTCTCCTTAGCGTTATCAAAGCGAATATACGTAAAAAAGAAAAATTGAATTAATCAAAGACATCGACATCGAATTACATTTCTCAAACATGTTCGATTAACGAAATCGATAATACTTTGTAATGATAAATTAAAGTGTTCCCTTTTAGAAGAAAAAATTAATTAAATTTGAAACAAGTTTCTACAAAAGCAAAGAAATCAATTTACCTAAATTATCCTATTCCACAGAGGATCGCTTTGGTGGTTTCGTAATTGGATACAGAGTAACGCCGAATATCGAGAAAATCCCAGGAGATCCAATTGCAAGCAATCGAATCGCAAGCTCGCACGAATATCGATAACTGCGCGACACATCGGAAGTCGAATGATAAATTTGAAGCTCACAGTCGACAGAGCTCGGCTAGCTCCGTACGTTTCCGTTCAACGCAGCGGTATTGCAATCCACATTTCGAATCGACGTACACTAATACAAAGCACCAAAGTTACGATTAACCTGATGCTTCGTGTAACAGGTCATCGATCAATATTATCATCATAAATTGATATTCCGTTGACTTAGTACATCCGATGTTTCTTATAAATTATCGAAATAATTGTTTATTTGAAAATTACACGATTATTACGGCTATAATCGAATGGCATCAAATTGAACCGTGTAGATCCGAATCGAGCTACGTCGAATTATTGAATATTAAGTTTGTGCGTAATAGTTAACATTTGCGTCAACGAAAGGCACCACTATGCAGCGTGAGGTTTGAAAGAAGCAAACTTCTACGAGTCAATAAAAGATCATGCATAAATATTCTAATTTCATTCGTACAGCGAAGTATTTAACGATCGAAATGTATTACTAAGTAAACCCTGTTAATGAACGGCATTTAAATGATCGTACACGTGAAAGTACACTACACAGGAATAGACGTGTACGTGTTCGTAAACGAGATAGTACCGGCCGTTGCCGCGTCAGCTTTTCGTAGGTGCAATCGGAAAGGTATAGCGCGTCCTTGCGATACAATATAGAATAAAATCCACATGCTGAATTGAAGTAGCTGGGAAAACATACCTCCAGTTATGGCCAATGATATTGCTTCTTAAAATGGCGATACGTCACGTTATCGTAGCCGATTAATCTTATCAGCACGTGATGTTTCAACACACGGTCTGAGCTGAGGACGCGGGATTAGACGACTTATCGATCATAAAGAACTACCGTTCGTATATAGTGTAGTGTCCCGCCACGAGTGGCGCCACTGACACGTGGCGTCGTTAGAATCCTTTGGCGGGCTATTTGAATCGCGTTTCGTTGGAAATGTAAATTAACGATGTAGTATAATACGTTTTATGCGTTTTAAGGAATAATGACAATAACGAATAGTACTTTTTATATACTTTAGTGAAATAGAATGGATTTTATCTTAACGTGTAATGTAGTTACCTTCAGTTGGGGAGCTATTCAAGTCCCTGTACTGACAGTCGAATTTCACGACTGATAGGGAAGATTTTAACGTTGTTTTTGAAAAAGAATATCGTGTAATCAATTTAGAATGAATCGAATGAGGCGGTTTGCGGAACGTGTATACAAAATCATGATTGTTAGTGACATATACATTGCAATTCTGAAAGTTGATGTTACCATCGAATTTAATATTAACTGTTTTATCATTCAAAGTCATGGTAGGTAACTGCTTTAACATCATACTGTTCAGAAATGACCTGCGATAGATACAAGATATAAAGTAGTCGTTCATGCTTAGACACTTTCATAAACCTCTTTAAGATGTCGCTGTTCAGTTTCAAATTTCTCCAAAACGATTTCCATTTTGAACATATTTAAATACTTTCTTGATATGTATTATAGTAGTAAAAATATAATCAATATTTTAACATTGATATCGAAACTGTATTAACCCCTTATGGGTTAAAAAGAAAAGACTGTATCATACTAAAATCTTGAAGTAACTTTATTCTTAGAGTAGCAATTAATTATTTATACTTAGAGTATCAATTGATTATTTAAACTAAACAATAAAATCGACACGAGTCGGTTTAACATTTAGCTCGTTAACATCATCTCCCAAGGGCTCGTCGCTTGTCTCTCGATTCCGCGAGCTTCTTTCTAGCGCTTACCGTACACGCTGAGAGGACAGGGGACAGACGTCAGTTTAATTCGTATTACTTTTCTCATAAATCCGTCGGGATTCAGAGGCTGGAGAGCGATAGGATAGGGGGTATAGTCCGCGGGGATAAGCGATATAATGTCGCATATAACGCTAGAGGTCTATATACATAGACAGAGAGTTGGGTCCATGTGAAAGAGGGGTGAAGGAGAAGTTCCCTCTTTTCTTTCTCTCTGGTCCGTTACGTCCTCCCCATTTTCCTCGGTCTCCTTGAGCCGTGGCTGTACCGATTTCCAGACAGTTTTTGCTGAAACATCGCGCCGTTGATCCGGCATTTTCCAGGCCGCTTGGTTTATCGCTCGGCCTGATCCCTCTGTTCGTACCGCGGTGTTACAAGCCCCTGCAATCGATGTTTTCATCCCATCTTCCTTACTCGACGTCTGCCTCTCCAGCACCCGCTTTCCTACCGATTCCACTCTCTCCCGTATTTCTCTTTATCTTTTCCCTTTCTCTCTGCCGCCCTATCTAAGATAACCGCCGCCATTTGTCTCGCCGGTGCCTGTACCAAAGTTACACGCGCCGATGTAAAACTACCTTAGATCTTCTTACCGTACACCGGAGACTCGAATTCGCTGGATCTGGAAAAGGGGTTGATTTCCCGTGGCTACGATCGTCGAAAGTTAAAAAGTGTAGGCGAAGATTTGTTCGATGAAGTTGGAGGAACTTCACAAAGGGAAAGATCGATTGATAAATTTATTTATTATTCAGGTTCAATACTTTAGATTTCTAGATTCCCAGATTTCTATATCCTAATTCTACATCCCTGAAGCCCTGCATCTTCAAATTTTTCTGTAGATTCCTATGTCTCCAGATTTCTAGAGCTCCAAGTTGAATTTTATTCCAATTAAATGCAACTGAAATAATTAATCCTATACTCAATAATTTCAATACACTCAATAATTCTTAGAAAGATAAAGTCGCTGTAGGGACTGTACCAGAATAAAGTCGAATATTCGTACAGAGACAACACGATGCAATAGGGTAGGACAGGGTTGCAGCATAGATCCATATCGACTTTATACGCCTATTTTCAATCACGTTCAGTTCACGATAAAAGACTTTTCTCTACGTGATCGTGTACTACCCTTCGGGCACCGGATTTTGTTTCCTGTGCCGCGCGGGTTTGGCGTCGCGCGAATAAACACACCGGGGACACGCGATCTGATATTCAATATCCTCGGCTTTCCCCTCGGGAGAGTTTTGCCAGGATCTCGAACTAGCATACGCGGTATCCAGTTTCTACGTGTTTCGAGCCCGTCGGATATAATAGATACATTTTTCGATCTTTCAATATCGCTCCCCTTATACGACCGTTCTTATCGCGTTCGCTGACATAAATTCTTAATTATTACAAATTATTTTTATTTCTGCTATAAATACAGTCATCGAGGATCGGCAGCTTCGAATAAGCTACAAATATATTCATCGTTGGTAATTGCTAATTATTAATTCATTCAATATTTTCAAAAAGTAATATCTCTCTGTATTTCGATATCTGGTGTCGAATATTGTTATTCTTTCTATTTATTGTTGCAGCGTTTTTTTACAATTATTTATATTTTAGAGAGATTTCTAAAGTTACAAAAATATTAAGTTTCGTTTATATACTATTTTTAAGTTCTATTTTTGTGAAGAGTAGCCGAAGTCAGATCCTGCGCGACACTCCCTTATGTAGAATTCCTTCGGGAACAACGGGTGTCACAGTACAGCCCGATCGGGTCACCGGTGGATCCCAGTTGTCCATTAACTTGTCGGCCTTTAATGCATCGTAGCCGGACAGGCAAGCAACCTCCATGGTGTTTTGACACTCGACCATGCGTGACGTCGCCCACCACCCGATCCATTTTGCACCGCGATTTATTTGCGTCACCCTTCTCTGTGGCCAAAAGTCGTCGTCGTGGCGAACGATACAGATATCGTGGCCGTATTTCATCGGAGACTGAATCGCAGAAGGAAAGACATCGTTCCGGAAACGGAGCGAAGTGCTGCGATCCCGCAAGATGTGTGGTTCGAACCGGAAACCCGTTGCCGGAGGGTATAAATTGAATTCGGGGCTGCGCATCCGACGCGTAAAAGCGACTTCGCACGCCCTTTAAATTCTCGATACGCGATTCGACCCCTTCCTCGACTTATTGCGTCGCTGGACAACCATTACCGGACCCGGAAAATGCCAATAATTCTCGCTGACAACGAGAACTTACCTTCCTTCTGACCCTCTTCCCATTCTCTTCTTCCTAATCCAATCTTCCGGATGTTTGTCCTTGTCTACGAGGAAATTTCGGAATTGTTAGTTTAACAAACAATTTCTTTTTTATTCGACTGGGTGTTTATAATAATATTTGACTGTAGTAGGCTGTAGTTGATTGATTGATTGATTGATTCCTGTTGCGGGCGTCGACTACTATGGTCATTAGCCTAAGGCTGTAGTTAAAGCAGAATTTAACCCTTGGTGTTCTTCGATTTCTTTTACCTATGTATTCTTTAATATACACAAAATAGATTAAGAAAGGAATTCTCAATAAAATGCAAGAGGGTGTAGTATGTGAGAAATTCTTCTTTTATTACAAGTAGTAAATAAATAATATACATATTCAACCAATTTATTTATCTGAATTATTTATGAGATCCAAGAGAAATGTCGAGCCACACTTGATACAGGAATGCAAAGGGTTAATATATGTAGTATAGGTACAGAATTTGTTAAATACCCTCCTGCATACCACTTTACGAACACCACCGATGAAGTTAAAAATGATATACATATATATTATTACAATGACTCTTATAGTAACATACTCTGTGAAAAATATCATGTATCCTTCACAACATCATGTAATTGTAATTGCACAGTTGACAGTGTGATAAAGATAAGATTTAGTTCGAAGGAGTAAACGAGGAGGAGCAGAGGTCGAGTAGGACATTTATCGGACACGGTGGTCCACGGGATCAGCTTCGAATATTCTCGTCCGGGTTGCGGTAACCTGTGGCTAGCTCTCGGCTTAGATACACGGAGCTTAGATCCGCCTTGGGTTTGGTTTAGGACCCTCACGAAGGCGATACGTCAACGTCATAATGGGGGCCATAAATCCAGCTCGCACGCGCCTAAACCTCGCTCGTGGAGACCGCACGCGGACCACGGTCCGCAACCGTCCATAATCCGCCCGCGTGTCCCTCTTACTATGCCTTCAACTTAGTTTGCACGCTGACTTTGTTAGA